GTTCATTAGCGCATCAGCCTTGTAACTTGGTTGTTGGTTTGATCTCAATCAACTAATAACACAGCCTAATCCACTGAAGCTTTTAATAGGTTTAGGAATAAGAGGGGTTTACATCCTCATCAGTGTTCAGCGTGCTGCGGCAGGGGAAACACCCTCACCCACGTCCTGTTGGAGAAGAGGGGTGACCGAAGCACGGTGGCTGGGGCACGTGCTAGCCAAGAGCCTGCTTTGGATAGCGCAGGCCATCCGCACGGCGAGGAGACGGCCAGAGATGTGTTGACCCTTGGGCACAACGGGTCTGGGCACGCTGAGGGGGTCCAGCAGACACCGCTGCGGTGCTGCCCTCTGAACGGGCTGCGGACAGGGCCATGGCATCCCGCAAGCTGCTGCCGGTGCTGAATCCTGGTGACTCCAGCGCTTTGTCTCTGCCCGATGCCTCACGTTCCTGTGCTCCCCCACCAACCACGACCACCATCAGCTCCCACCCAGCTTCGGTTCCACGGATGGTGACAGATGGTCCTCTATCAACTATCATTAGTGTAAACCAGGGGGTGGGCAGAGTGCACGCTGCCCCCTGATTTGGAGTGTGACTGCAAGCAAGCTCCCACTCCTCTGAGTGGAAACAAGCAGACACAGAGCAGGCTGCACCGTGCCTGGTGGGTCCCCAAACTGCCTTACGCCATCCTCATGGCCAGCGCCACCCTTCCACCACTGTCACCCATGCAGAAGCCAAGGCCGGGCCATTACCTGGGCAGCAGCACGGTAGGAATTGCAGGCAGAGCTTGTCCTTGCCCCAGTGGGTGCCAGGGCTGAGCACATTTGAGGGCCACCATAGGAAATACCAAGCAGGCCCTGAAGTGGTGTCCAGCTCAGCCCAGCAGGTGCCAGAGAGAAGTTCCCATGGCGCTTACACAGTGCTGAGGGGCTGCACCTGATGGGTGTGGATTTCTAAGCCTCCTGATAAGCTGGTGTGTTGGTTTATAAACTCCGTGGGATTCCTGAACGTCCGTAAGCTGCTCCGATTACCTCCTCAGCCACCACAAAACACCTCCCTCTTTGCCTCCAGCATCAGCACTGAGGGAGCCGTGGCCATGCCAGCCATGCACGTGTGGTGCCCGGAGGAATTTATGTTCTCCCCCCCAGGCTGACACTGCCCGGCAGAGCAGCCCCAGCCCTGCAGTGTGACGGGAACCTGTCGGCTTCGCGCGAGCCCCTTCCTCAAACACACCGCACCTCCTCAGACAGGGGATTTGTCATCAAGAATCCCGATCAGGAAAGAGGTGATGCTTTGAAGAAAATTATGATGGCTTTCAAGTTTATTTGTTCTAATTACCCAGCTGACAGCTCAGGAGAGGAGGAGAAAAATCATCGGGGTATTACTGCCACAAAACAGTTGTAATTGAATCATTCCAGACAATAAAGCAGAAGCACAGGTCACAGGCAGACGCATCGCTCCCCCCCACACCCCTCACTGCTGCACCACAATAAAATCACACAAGGAGATACTGCTCTAATAGCAGCCTATTACGGCTAATGGTGAGGCAAGTGCGTTATCTGCCCTGTCACCCGCCTGCAGAGCAGGAACCGCTGAGCAAGCCTGGGGGTGAGGAGTTTACATTGTGGTCTGCTTCCCTGCAGTGTGTGGAGGCCTCTCCTGGGCAGTGGGTGCAGGTCTCCCCATGGGAGGCTGCCCCCCAGCTGCTCCAGCGCTGGCCGCAGCGACAGCACGGTGGCTTGTGGTGGTGTCCCACCGCGTAGCTGGGAGACGCTGCGCAAAGAGGCAGGAGCCGGGACACAGCCCTGGCCCCACTTCTGCAACAGCCGTGCTTGACGCAGCCCCATGTCTGGAGGGGGCAGAGCCTGTGCCTGGCACTGACACCCCTGCTCTCGGCCAGGGCTGTAGCCCACTGCCCAGCTGGCTCCCCCCCTTGCTGCGAGGACCAGAGACCGACTTCTCCCCTGCCACCTCGGTGCTTTACCAAGCCCTCCCACCACACCCCCCTGCCATCCAAGGCACCCCCAAAGCCGCACACAGGGCTGAAGCGCAACTCATCAGCGCTCAGTCCAGACCGTTAAACCCTTGCTGCACGGGCTTGCTGCCTCAGCAGCTCTGCTGGGAGCAGCTGAGGCTGCGCGTGGCTTGCGGGAAGCGAACTGCTGAATTTGGCACTGCCAAAACCCATCATCTGCAGCGGCGATGCTGGGCAGGGCCGTGGGGGTGATGGCTGTGCCCCCAGCAGGGGCTGCTGTCCTCCACCGCTCCCTGTCTGCTAGCAAGGGGGTAGGAAAACGCAACGCAAGCAGCTGAGCGTGGGGCAACCGCTGTGTTGACCACATTCGAGGGTCAGCACCCAAACCATCCCTACCCCTTCGGTCCCCACACCAGGATGGGACAAGGCAAGGCTGCGTTCGCAGAAATCCAGTTTAAGACATTTTTATTCCTCTGCATGTTACACTTAGTGTTTAAGAAAATACAGGATCCCTTTTGACATTCATACATTTTTACAGGGGAAAAATAGGTTTCTCTACGAGGGTGGTTATTAAGCTTTGGGTGTTCCCAGGCTGACTTCAGGGGGTCCTCACCCCCGCCGGCTGCCAGGCAAACCCTCTCCATTCCTGAGCGTCACTGCCCCAGTGCCCAGAGCCCAGGTCTGCAGAGCAGAGCTCGTGTCATCACCTCAAGCTACAAAAAAATACAGTGCCCAGTATTTCCAGTTCCAATAGCTCCTACACTGGATACTGCAAAGGAAGAGTTGGGAACAGGGAGCGACCAGACTGCACACATGAATGTCTAAGAGACCCACGTTAGTGTGACTATCTGTAACAGGGAAACAGGTTAATCCCGTTTGCTAGAAACCTAGAGGAAATATAAATAAGGGTTCCCCACTCGTGCATAGTCACAAACAGCTACTGGACATCAGGCTCACGCTGCCTCCGAGCGCTGCCACGTGGAGAGGGAGGGCGGGAGGCAGAGCTGCTACAAAGCTCAAGGCAAGAAATCCACACGGTTCACGAACAGAGCGCGCCCGCCCACGCACAGCCCCTCTGCTCGGGGCCCAGGCAAGTGGCAGCTTTCACTCAGCAGGACACGTCTTTGCGCTGTGTCCGGGCCGGGCTTCCTAAAGGCAGCGTCACCTGCGTGGTCATTACTTTTAGGCTGCCACGGTGCGCAAGAAACTCAGATCTAAACGTCACTATAGAAAGCAGATTGAAAAAAGCAGCTGCTGGGGTAAGACCTCTATGGCCCAAGGTGGGCGGCTACCCAGAGGCAAAGCTGAGGGCCAGGAGGGAGTGGAAAGCTCACCAGACGAGGCGTTAGACAGTGAGCGAGCTGCCTCCCCTTGGCAGGGCTGCAGCACATTGGCACTAGCAGCAGAAAACAAAACAGATGTTACAAAAGCTTCTTCCAAGCACCAGCAGACTCCACTTGGTCACTGCAGGGAGAGAGATGCACATGGAAAAGAAGTGATGCTCTAAGGCAAAGGCCTTTCTCTTCGGGACCTCGGGACACCAGCGTTGCTAAACAACCCCACCCCGGCTGCTGGGTCCCTCACAAGCTCTCTGCCCTTCCCGCTAACACCAGCTGCCAAAATACCTCCTGCCCGAGTCCTGCAGGCAAACCACGCACCACCACCCACCCTGCTCCGACCTCCCCCAAGCACCAGGCCCCGGGGACACCCCATACCCTTTCTGCCGCTGGCGTTTCTAAAGGGCTGGTGAATGCTGTCCCAACCTTAGGCCTCGCACGGAGGGATATAAGGTATGAGCTGTACTGGAAGGGAATGGGGAGAAAGTGTCCAACAAGAGACGCCGTTGATCCAAGTGGTTCAAACTCCAGTCCAAGCTGAGGGGCGGTTAGCTGGTGCCGGGAGAGATTTCTGGGAACTCCTTATAAATCTCCAGGATGATGAGTTTGTCCATCTGGCACTGCTGGCTCTCCTCCTCCTCCCCCAGGATGCGCTGCAGGATGCCCTGCAGGTCGGAGAGGCGGTGCTGGTGCTGCAGATAGGGCGTGGAGCGGATGATGGCGTGCATCAGAGACAGATACTCCATCCTCAGCTGCCAAGTGGGAGGGGAGACACAACACAGAGCACAATGGAAGATGTAAAGTGAGATAAACAAGCATGCCAGCCTCCATTACAGCATGAGCACAGGAACAGCTGCTGCTGTGTCACCAGCCCGAGCAACTCCAGAGGCACTGGCTTTTCCTTAAGGCTCATGAGTAGCCGTGGAAAACTCTGCAACCAAGTGCTGCTCTTCACCCACTCTCAAAGGTCTGCATATCCCCTGTCTCTTGTGATACCAAAAGAGAGAGAGATCCCTCCTACTTCTACCACTCAGAGGGTCCCTGTTCCCAAAGGTCTCTGGACAGCAGGGTGCAGACCACCAGAAGCCTGGCAGATCTTTCTTCAAACGTGCCTCTCTACCGCTGTGTGCCGGGCAGGATAAATCCACCCCTCCCTCCCCAGCCACCCAGGATGATTTGAGCACCCAGAACTGCCATGCCTGCCCCAGCAGGACTCACGAAAGACCAGGAGATACACCATTGCTTTGGGCCTGTGCTCCCTTCCCCAGTGCCTGCAGGTTACTGTGAGCACCTTGTCTCCTGGGGAGAGGTCAGCGATCTGCCGCACCAGGATGTCTATCAGGACCATCATGTCGGTATGGTAGAAGATGCTGGCTGTATCCTTGCTGGCAAAGATGTCCTGCAGAAACTTCAGCACCGAGTGTGGCGGCTGAGGCTGATGCTTGAAGATACAAACTGGATCATCTGAGGACGCAGAGACTGTGCTGAGCCACATGCTCCCCATTGCCCACGCCCTCCGTCTTCATTACGCACCCCTCTGTTAGACCCCACAGGCTTTGAAGAGGAGGCTGCTCCCTGCCCATGGCTGGTTTTTGTGCTGGCGGACCTCAGTGCTTTGCACAAAGCTGCGTAATCACGATGGCAGCTCTGCAGGGTACCACACTGAGACCAAACTCATTAGCGTTAGCATTAATCATTGTTTGTGTTTCACCTACCAGCCCAGGTGAGAGCTCATTAGCGCATCGCCTCCCAGTGCCTCCTCTTTCTGCTCAACAGCTACCACTCATTTTCTCCCTGGTTTATTAAGTCTGGTCCAATGACCCCTCTGAAAAGCCCACCAGAGCCTGCACCAGAAATGAGCTTTCACCACAGAGACCAGGCTAGCACCACCCTGAAGCAGGAAAAGAAACACCTCAAAGTTGGAATGAGGCACCATAGCCTGTTCTCTTCTAAAACCAGTCCCTGCAGACCCCAGGAAGAGCTCGGGGACACTGCAGCCACCCCCAGCGGTTGTCAGGAAGGCGGACACAAGCGAAGCATCTTCATTAGGTTGTGGCCCCCCTCTTTCTTCCTGCAGCTTCTCGCAGTAAGGTGATCCCTGCAGGGAATCTGGCAGGGAAAGGGCTAAACAAAGGCTTTGGGAGGAGGTCAGACAGAGGAGCACCGAGATGCCGGCTGCCCTCAAGCTGATATAGCGTGGAGACAGTGATTTGCAACCCCAAAGAGAACTAAAGCCAGAGTAAGATGAGCAGCAAGCATCACAGGATGAGTTATTTACCAGCAAATCAACAAAATGAATCTCAGGCAAAGCCCCTGTGCTCCAGAACGTATTAGAAAGCACAATAGTGGCATGCAGCATAGGCAGAAATACCAAAAAAAACTGAGATCTCCAGCTTTCTAGCAATCTGCTTTGCAAAAACTCTACACGTACAGCGGGTTTCACTCTGTGCCTGGAGCAGACACAAAGCTAACCCTCTGCCAGCAATCCCGACATGGGAAGCTCCACTCTAAGCAGCATTGCAGAGGCAAGATCTCCTTCTGGATCTGTCCCCGGGGCAGATGATGGCCAGCACAGGCTGAGGTTTGTGTGCCAGTGCTGACAGAGCCCTGTCTGTCCAAGGACAGAGGTGGCCCAGGACCAGCTTTCCTCCCAGACAAGAGGCAGCACCTACGCTGCAGCCAGCCATGCCGCAAGATGGGGCTGATCTGACCCTCCCTCATCCTCAGCAGTGCGGGCTGTCACCCTCCCAAAGTCACCAGGGAGCAGCACTGACAGCCCCTCAGCTCCCTGCATCCTCAGCGCATCCCAGCCCCTAAGGAGCCCCAGGCTCACCAGTGCCACAAACACTCAAGCAGCAGCAGCTTTTCCGTGAACGTCTTGACATTCGAGTGCTTGCTTATTGTAGTCATGATCACGCTGTGCTCTGGAACTAAGGAAGAAACCTGTTCAGCACAGCCCTTTGCTTCCTGAAGACCACAGTGTTAAAAAAAAATAGCAGAGGGCTCCTGTTTTGTATCAGTGCTCTGGGGAACCACATTTTATCAGGGCTATGAAAACTTTCAGCCCCACAGAGCAGCTGGGCAGGGGAAGAGCAGGCGAAATAAAAGTGAAAGGGAAGGTGAAATAAATCTGGAAACAACGCATGAAACACTTGGGACTTTCTACGTGCATCTGATTCACGCGTAGGCTCCAGTGCAGCCAGCCAAATACTGTGAAATACCTTGCAAAGCCTTTATGTTCTGACACCTCTGCTCACAAACCTCTGAAGCCAAGGGCTCCACTTTCAGGTATCTTCATGCTTCCTATCAGCAGTGTCCTGCTGGAATTTAACTGCCTTCTCATAAGAAAGGATGGCCAGGTCAGAGCAGGCCAGCAGGGAAATGTTCTTCTTCCCAGCACTCAGCACGGGGCTGTGCAAGGGGAGATGCTGAAGACTTCTTGCAGGAAATCATAGGAAATGTCCCCTAGCTGCTTTGGGGGTGATTTCTTGTAATTAAAATATGCTCACCCTAGCAGACTTTACATGTACGTGAGTGTGCACGCTCAGAAGCATCCAAACAGCCCAGCGTGGCTACTTCTATGGCACAGGGTTGGTAACACTACAGTATTGCACAGGCTGCAAAGTGCTTTAGGATCCTTCACATTGAAAAGCATTAACATAAGATGTTTTTAGGAGACTTTTTAACTAAGGCTGCACCACTGAACTGTACGATAGATGAATCTTGCAGACAGAGGAATAAAAATCCGATCCACTAATAAGCAACCTGAACATCATTTAACACGTCCTTAGCATGAGAGAACAAGTCACTGCTCTTGGCTACACCCCAGGTGGGCACTAATCCCCCCGAAACACACTGCCTGTCATGTATTACTGCCTCATTACTGCAGCCAGGAACTACACGGGCAACTGTGAGGAGGGGTAATGAATGAAAGCAGCAGAGACCATATTTAATCAGTCTCTGTGCAATCAACTTTCACATGAAATTAGAAACTTTCACATAAATTTTAATGAAGCTCAACTGAAAGTAACAGGTAAATTACTGGACTTGTCCTTGCTGCTTTATCCTCCCTTCTCTCCACGAAGCCAAGGATAAAGCCGTGGAGCAGAACAAGAGGAAGTAATTAACTAAAGACGATTGGAGCAACAGGAGATTTTGGGTCAAGAAGTGGGCTTTCTTAGCAGGACCTAGAACTACTCTCCAATTTTCCAACAGGCTTCAAAGCTCACAGGCAGCGAGAGGGCAAATGCCCTTCTTTAGGGACCAGATGTGCCTGTTCTCATGGGGCTCCGCAGGGGAGGGAGGGCAAAGCACAAGGGCACTCAGGAAAGAGCGCAGCTCAAGCCAATGTTGAGTGGCCCCAACGCGTGGGCATTGAATGAGCTTCAAGAGATGCAGCTGGGTATGCAGAAGGTTTGTCAAGACGTACAGAAGGCAGAGGACTTCTTTCTGGGCTGGTACTGAAAAATGTCCACTGAAGCATTTTCTCTCCCAAATCAGCTGTGCCTACAACTTAACCCCACTCACGTTCTGAAATGCAGCCCAACAACTGCTTTGATCCAGGCAGCGTGGAAGAACAGAGAGAAATCTGCTGGGCTTTGCAGAGCTACTGTGGCCTGGAGGTCAGGTGGCTGGACACGGGCTCTCAGACCCCTTTTTCCTCTAGGGTTTTGCACAATATTTAAACACAGTGTACTGCCAGAAGCTAGGGGAGCTGCAGAGATTATCAGCACCACGAAGACCCAGGGAGATTCTCCCTCCCCATTCTTCACATCCTCACTGCTCCAGACCACTGAAATCCAGCACCAAACTGACCTGGAATGTGGAGATTGAAGGCCAAAAGGACGTTGACGAATAAGTCGGGCAGCTGGTCGGTGGTGTCTGAGGGCAGCCCGTCCTCAATCACATCCAGCAGGAACTGCACAAACTGAGAGTTGAGATGTTCTGCGCAAGGAGAAAGAGGGGCATTTACAGCACAGGGAAAACAAGCCAAGCAACAAGAGCCCATGCGAGCCACTTACTGGTGTACTTTGATGCTTAAAAGCCATTAGTGGAGCGCCAGTGTCAGCCTCCGGGGATTTAACAGCCCTGCAAGGGGACTCGACAGACCACTGAGGTATCTCTGTGCCAGAGACAAGGGGCTCAGAGAACCGCCCACAGCACAGGGGAATGCTGAAAGTTGATCCCGCACTGGCAATTGTTTTGGAGTAAATAAAACACCAAATCCTGCTCTAACTGTTGCTGCAGCAGCACTGCCGCCAGTGAAAGCTTCAGGTAGGAAAAGATTTGTATTCTTGACCGCTGGTTTAATCCATCTATTAAGAAAAAAAAAAGTAATCATCTGGATCATTACTAATAACCCATTTTTCAATTTAGCCGTTAGGAAAGCTCAGGAGCTCATGCAAATAAGTCCACCTGCAGGAAATATTTGCCAGGGTTACACGAGGAGAGAAAAGCAGGAGGTGTGGAGGCTCATTCCACAGTCTCTACTGCACCAGCTTAAACCTCGTACGTGTTTACCAGGGCATTAAGGTGAAGCGGCTGAGGACAGAAAAATAATACAAATTTATATTAAAATCTCTACTGCATTTCTAGGAACGCTGAGCCCGGAGATTCCCACATACAGGGAACACAACATGTCCTGGGGAGGAAGCAGGCAGGGCTTTCTGGCTGAAGGTTGGAATGAAAGGACAGAGGTTAAAACAGGCAGATACACAACGTTTGCACTTCCTTATTGACCACAATAGCCTTAATCATCTCTGCTTTCCCTAAGAGCTTGAAATACAGAGGGCTGCAGCATCCCGTTACGAGGGAGAGCAGGAAGAGGCCACATTTTGCAGCTGACAGCTTCAGTGGGCGTTCATGGAGTGATTTGGGCTCTCAGCCCCATCAGCAGACAGAACGCCTCTGAGGCACGCAAGAGGTCTGTGCTCTCACGCAGGGCAGAGATAAAACAAAATGCTGCTTAGTCACAGTGATGGGCAAATCCACCTCTTTTGCAGCACGGCATCAGTCCTCCACTGCTCTAACACAGGTCTGTGCTGCTCCCTCTGAAAACCTGGCATCTCAGCCCAGTGCTTCAGCAGCCAGGCTCTACTGATAAAGAGCAGACTCTACTCTTGCCCTGCTCACGCTGGGCTTTCCCCCAGCTGTCCCCACCTTGGCCACCAGGAAAGGTCCCTTCCCTGTGTGTGCCAGGACGCCTCTGATGCCCCAGCACCAGCTCTGCTGTCCTGCCAAGCCATGAGCATAAGCAGCTCTTACCATAGTGATGATATGGCAGGGGCTCCCCCATGGAGAACATCATTGCCAGCACCAGTGCAGAGTAGCACATCTTCTGATGATCTGCAAGACAAAGTTCCTGCCATTAGTTCTTCTGAGGATGTGAAACCGTTCCCCAGCTGCAGCTGGAAAGTCGCACATTTAATACAGACGTTTAACACTGATTATACTGCTCCTCATTCCATTATACTGCTCCTCGTTCCTGTATTTACTGAGCTATAAGGGTGTTTTTCCCCCTGCTTAAGCACAACACACATCTTCTGTGCCATGCGTTTCCAAAGCAATTTAAAAATAATCACAACAAGAGTTCTCAATTTTTTTCCCCTCCACTTAAGAGGATCTGGGCAAACTTGATCTGAATTGTTAAAAACCTCCCCTGCACAGTCCCAGGACACATCCCATGGTTATGCAATTACTGAACCCAGAAAAAGCATCCATCTGGCCCCCTTGAAATCCTGCCTGTTCCCACCACCACCACCCCCCGACAGCTCTGCTGCTCGTTGCCATCCCTGCACTGCTCTACTTTCACCACCTCAGCTCTGCCTGCAGGAATAAAAGGTCTCTGGGGAGATCCAATCCCTGCTCGTGGCTTGGGCCGTGCATCTGCCCACTGCCCGTGTCTTCTCCACCAACACGTCCCTGCTAGCCCAACACCGTTCCTGCTGGCAGCAGCTGCAGGCGAATGCTCCACAGAACCACAGCTGGTGCCTTTCCTGAATTTTTATTAACAGATACAGCTCGATACATTTTTGCAGAATTAAAAAGCCCTAATGGAATAGGATCTGTGTCATCATCAAATGCAGCCTCTGTCCAGTTCAGCGAGTCTGAAGACAATAGGAAAAGGAGTATTATTTTTATAAAGTGGGTTACCAAACGTACTGGCTAAATAAAGTTTAGCTACATCTGCCAGAAAGAGCCTAGGGGCTCTTGTTACAAGGAAACTGAGGGTGTATTTATAAAAAACTGGCCCAAACTACCTTTCATTAGAGGAGAAATAAGTCCTGTCAATGCACGGTGCTTCTCCCAGCAGTGCTGCTGCCCTGCACAACACATGCTGCTTCCAGCAACCCCCTCCAAACCCTTTGAGACATTTCACTTCCCTGTGCACAAGCTGATCCACCTGTAAGCACCTGCACTCTGCAGCGTGGTTCTGACCGCAGGGGCTGACGTCTTCACCGTCACCACATACTCCTGGACTTGGCCAAAGGACTTGCGACACTTGACAGCTCTTGGGTTTACTGTTAGCATGGGAGAAAATGCTCCAAAATCATGCTTCCCAGCCTCGACCCCCTGGGAAGTCAGCTCTGGGAGCAGAGCTGCTATAAACAGAGAACATGCAGACCCTGTCAGAGCTCCACAAGATGCCCGAGTTTTCAAATAGCAAATCCTTTGAGTAAAAATAGATCATGTGGGGCTTAACCAGAGATACTACAGCATTAACAAGATTCAGAGTTTGTAGGAGAGCACTCTAGACCGTGCGGCAGCAAAGGAGAGCTGGAAACTGCTGTTTACTCTTGGTAAACAGAGAGGGAGGCTATTCAGTGACTTAAATGTAATTCATGCTTATACAAGAAGCTCTTGGCTACAAGGTGTCAGTGATGCCAAAGCTCACTGTAGCAGAAAAAGAATCTGACAAACTGATTTTTTCATTCTTTCCTCCACGGCTTTGGGAGCTGGGTATCAGAGCAGGATACTGCAGACACCAGGACCCCCTGCCCCCGTGTTCCTAGTAAGGCTTTCATGGACACATGTTCCCTCATCACATCACAAACAATGAAATAATGATCTGAGAACCAGAAACCAGTGATAAACATGTGGTTGTAGCAAATATGGAGGAAGAGATTAATTAGAGATGGGAGGGGGAGGGTAGTTTTACATGTCCTTGGCCCATCTGCCATGAACTGATGTCCATTCATCTCGCCCGAGAGCAGACTCCACTGCTAGGTGGCAGATCTTGTATTTGCCTAAGGATGTTGAAACCAGTCAGAAAGCTGAACTGGGGGTGAATCCAGATTCACCCGGTACACTCAATCAGCAGACTCTACAAGTCTTTGGAGTGTCCCAGCTGCAGCAAGGCTCATCCAAGACTCACCATGCTGACAGAGTAACTGCCAGTCAAAGCACAGCTTTGTTTTGTTTTCCTTCCAGAGCAGCACCAGTGGCTGCAAGAAAGTAAACTGCATTAATACAGCTCTCCTGAAGCCGACATGCTGATAAGCATTACCTCAGTGGCCATGCAGGGCAGGAAAGGTACGGCTGTTTGCTCACCAGCCTGCACTTCCAAAGCCTGCTGAGGCACTGGTAAGAAAGCTGCAGTTATTTGAGAGAGTTATGTATGAGAGTTATTTCTCAGAGGCCTTCAAAGACCTTGCCTCCAACCTCTAAACACAGTGGTGCAAAATCCGGGCACTGGGAACGGACACAGCTGTGTCCAACTGAAGTGAAAAGAGCCCGACATACATTGAGCCCAACACAGGAGAAAGTCACGATTACAGACCGGATTATCCCCTGTCTGTCTTCTTTGGAATTGTTCTGGCTAATTCTGCCTCGCTGTGGCTTATTATAAGCTCTTCTAACGCTGATAGATGCGCAGGCCAGCCGCGGCACAGGGAAGTGGCTGTCCAGCAGCAGTAAGACCCAAGCATCTGGCAGAAGGACTGGCCAGCAGCCAGCACGCCTGCACCAGCCCCAGCGTAAAGCGCCTTCTCATCAAAGGCACCCAGCATCCACACACAGAGCTGCTGCCTCGGCTGCTCTTCAGTGACAAGCCAGGGGGGATCCCACAGAGCTGCTGCAGCCGGTTCAATGCTCCCCAGTTGCTTAGTGCTGGCACTGGTTCCTCTGGCCCTTGCCATCCGCAGAAGGGATTAGCTATTCCACAGCATGTCACAGATCAGCTGCTATTCCCCCATTTTTAGTACCAAAATGAGCTCAAGTCATTCCAGGATTCAAGGTCATGTTTTCACTCAAGGTACCGCTTGCCATTTGCTGGCAGGACATGGAGCAGTAAGCACCAGGATGGCAGGAGGGAACCACTAATGCCCTAAAACACCTCTGAAGGACAGACGCGTGTGGGTCAAGGATGGCTACTTCCCTGCAGCCCTGCTGTGAAGGCTAAAACGACCAGAGGCTGCACAGATGACATTTGCACAACTGCCTGCCATAAGCTTAGCACAAGGAAGGCAGCACAGGATCAGGACACCGAATTGGGAGGCTCCTGTAACCAAAAGCAGGATGTGAGCAAAGGAAGAGCAGCTTCTCACGCTTCCACTGTACTGCCTATACAAGGAGGAAAAAACCCCTCACCTTGAGATGAAGCCAGGGAAAGAACAGATGCAGCAGAGCCGCAGGTTGGCACTTCGGAGGACACAGCAGTGCCATCTTTCACCCACCTCCACTGCAATGCTTTTTAGGTCCCCAAAGCAGAGCTCACACTTGCTGGGATGTAGGCCTGCTTTGACCAGACATGCTACATGGAGATCAGCAATCCCCTAGGTCGGAGCTCGATGCTCCATCGGATGAAGAGGCCAAGACAGCTGTGCTACATGGGATGACGGAGCCCTGGACAGCAACACTGTGACCAGGCAGGGAGTACCAAGGGCAACTAGCCCGCCCTGCCTGCACGGGGGCTGCTCAGGGACAGTGCAGGAGACTGAGGCCTGTTTGGGCACGGTGCAGAAGATGCTCACTTGGAGACAACCTTTATGAATTCATGATGGATGCATGACAGTTTAGTTTTGGCAGCACAAAACTGGGAGTAACATTGTCAATGAAACACATAGTCCCATGACCAAGTATTATTTGCTCCTTGGGCAGAAAAACCTCCGCCTAGAGAAACAGCTTCTTGTGCATAACCAGGTAAACCACCAACAGCGTGGTAAATTCACTGTGCAGAACTGATGAGCAGCGTCAGCACAGAAAGCAAGCGTAGCCAATGCAGGCGTAATGATCTCAGTCCACACCACCAGTGCTGTGTCCTGCCCTGAGCTGAAACAGGCACTCCTCACCTTCAAAATGCCCACACTTCAAAGCACCTAAGCAAAGATGAGGGCAAAGCTCTGCAACAGGCTTGGTTTTCACCCCTCACGTTCCTTCCCAAACACCAGAGCAGCCCCGTTCATCCTGTCCACCACACAGTCAGGTTGGCACAGTCTGCAGTGGGATGCTGGGGACAGGGACATCTATTACACAGGTTCGAGGTGGTGATCTTGGACATTTACTTGGCTTACACAAAATGGATGTGATGGTCCCTGTTCTGCACAGACCTGTCAATCCCCACACAGTCTCATCACCAAATGATACTTCTCCACAGCTCCACGATGTTTGCAGCAAACCAACAAGCTACAGACTGCAAACAGGGCAGCAAGGTTCCAAACACTGGGGCTCTTCTGATGCCATCCACATGGTCACTCAACAGCTACTTTAATTGTGAGTCATGATTAGCACAAAACAATGGATTTTCAATATCCCTTTAAGGAAAAAAGCAGCCTATGCCACTGCCAGTACTGGTGGCCTACAGGCTGACTGGAAAATGGGGAGCAAAGCTGTGACTGCCCAGGGCCAGACATGCATGTGGAGCTGGAAGGTAACTCCTGCAGAGTATCACTACACGTTCACCTTGTTCTTAGGCTCCTCCTCAGCATCTGCTCCTGGCTGCTGGGAGATAAAGGACACTGGGCTATGCAGGAGCAATGAGGGACAACGCTAGCAAAATCTGATCATGCCATCACCACTGAGCTTTTGAGCACACGGAGCCCAAAGCGCAGGAAGGACGTTCCTGTTAAAGCAGGGACAGGTCACCCTAACAAAGGGAGCAAGAGCGTCAAGTAGAAGGAACATGAGGGCAAAGCCTGGGTATGAAAGCAAAGAGCTGGGGAAAGCAGGGCTGTGGCACCATCCTGCAGAGGACCAGGACAGATTTGGTAACATCACTGCCATCTCCCTTGGTACAGTGGTGGACAGAAGATCCCTTCCTTTAACCAGCACACATCTCATTCACCAGCAAGAAACACCACAAAGATCCACGGCAGAGTGATGAGAAAAGCTGCCTGTAAGAAGCAGCAGAGCAGCAGCTCTGGCTCACCTTGGGTGTGAGTCTGCATGTCCCGGGCCAGCTCCATCGGCAGCACAGAGTTTACAAGTGTTGAGATGACTGCAGCATCCAAGTTGCACATGGCTCCAAAGCACTTCAACAGCAGCAGCCGTAATGGCACCCTGTGCTCCTGCAGAAACAATTCATTAGGTGAAATGATGTCGCAGATGAGGGCTCACTCTAAGATAGAGACATAATTGGCTGGAAGTTCCTGCTGTTGGGAAGCCACAGGCCCTCCTAAGGTGACAGTGAACCCAGAAGCTCTACCAGCTTTTAACAGCAGCACAGGAGTCATTTTATGGTAACATTCACAACTGGGCTGGCTACAGGTGGTTGGCACGTGTGGTCAGAGAGCACATAGCAGCCAGAGCTCAGATCTGAAATGCCCTTCACTCACTAAATGCGATACAAATCAACTACCTACTCCCATCCCTGGCAAGCAGATTTAATCTGCTGGGTAGCCAGGATTCCCTGAGCACACTGAGGTTTTGCTACTGTTGTTCTGAAGGAAGTTTCCTGACAAAACAATATTTGCAAACTGTGTGGTCAGAGAGCACATAGCAGCCAGAGTTCAGATCTGAAATGCCCTTCACTCACTAAATGCGATACAAATCAACTACCTACTCCCATCCCTGGCAAGCAGATTTAATCTGCTGGGTAGCCAGGATTCCCTGAGCACACTGAGGTTTTGCTACTGTTGTTCTGAAGGAAGTTTCCTGACAAAACAATATTTGCAAACCATCTTCAGCGTGTGATGGTTAATGGACAGGACAGGAGCAGCTCCTCCACTGTGAAACTGTCGTGTTTGTGCTGGGAGCAGAGGGCATAACCTGCAAGTTTTGGCACATGCAGGGATTCCAGCAAAGACAACGCTCAATCTGCAGCTCCTGTGCGGGAGCTGTGGTTGTGGGGTAACCTTCATACCACAGCCCCAGCCAGCAGCTCCAGGGGTCAGACAGCAGCCAGGACAGGGGACGCAACTGCTCTCCACCTGGTCAGGCTTCCTCGAAATCCTGCTCAGGGCCCGCAGCACCATCGTGCCCAGTCTGCCTTCCCACTGCCCTCACACAGGCTGCAGGCCCCTGATGCCAAGCTCTGGGCTCGGACACAGAGCTGCCAGATGAAAGCTAAATGCCACCAGGCTTGACGTGCTGTAGCTGGGGACTTAGGGACAAGATGGGGACAAGTTTCCAACCCCCACAGAGTCCTACAACAGCACGTTCCAGGAAGGAGAGGGGCAAAGCAGCACCGCACAGGCATTGAAGGCAAAACTCCCATTTCTTCCTCTGAATACTGATTTCCTTCCTCACTCCCAAGGTTTCTCCTCACAACCTACTTTCCTAAGCAAAGCTATTTACTAATGCACAGGAGCGCCTCCAATAAAAGAGGAGCAGTCACAGCCTGTCAGCTTTCCCAAGGCATCCTTGGAAATCCTTCCTCTCGATACTAGTGCTGCCAAGTCAGCCCCTCAATGGAGCTAATGAAAGCAGCAAGCTTTACCCTTCACAGTGCCAGCTGCCGCTTCCAGGTCTGCAGCATCCTCTGCTCTGCCACACAACCTGCATGCACAGCACCGACACTGGCCAGCACGCAAAAGGGATGTGCTGCAACTCCACCTGGTTCACAGAACTGCCCTACCCAGGGGGAACCTCTTACATATGTTCATCATAGCCACCCCGCTCTTCTGCATCTTCAGGGAAACCTCAAAAAGAGAGATTTGACGCATTCTGCCACCTTACCATCTGATAATACGCCACAAGGGACAGGACAGATTCAAACTCGTTCTTCTTGCACATTTTCTTGCAAACTTCTGGGTCTGCGTCTGTCTGGAAGCAGGAA